GCGGGAGCGCCTCCGCGCTTCCCAAGCGGCGCACTGTAGCAGTGCGCCACCAGGCCGGCCCCGAAATAACCGTTTCTTTTACTGGGAAGTGTTCCAGAAGTTTCTCTTGGTTCGGTAGTCTGAAAAGCCTGGGGAAGGGCTGTGGAAGTGGAGATGGGGCTACTGCTGCTCCTGGCAGCCAGACCACGTCCTTGGGGAGCTGCCCCGGTCTTCTGGTCGCAGCTTCTTTCTTCCTGGACTCCTGGGCCAGACAGACACCCCCAAGTGTTGGTGGTGGAGGCGTTGTCTTGCTTTCTACTGTGTTTCGGTAGGANAGACACCCCCAAGTGTTGGTGGTGGAGGCGTTGTCTTGCTTTCTACTGTGTTTCGGTAGGAGGTGCTAGTGTCCGCCTACGCACAAGGACTTGGGTCACAAACGGGTGAAGGCAGAAGGGGTGTGGCTGGGATGTGACCAAGCATGCACAGTGAAGCCAACCTTCTGGTCTCTTCTGTGCAGCATGGCAGGGAGAGGCCATGGAGGGTTCTTCCTCTCTCTCGGTGCACCGGGGCCGGCGCTGACCTGGTCAGGCCTGACAGCAGTCAGGATACTCACAGCAAGGCAGCAGACTCTGGAGGGGGCACCACACAACTGCTCGGGCATGAAGGGGTAGACTTTTCTTTCTCGAAATATTTTTCACTATATCGGAGAACAGATTGTAATACTGCATTAGGCTCTTGGGTCCCAAAGTCATAGAAATGAGCAATGCACTCAGCAGTAAAGTAAGCAATGCTTTATTAAAAGAGGAGAGAGACTTATGCATAAGGGGAGTAGCTATAGGAAAGCTAGTCTCCCGAGGGGAGCTGTTCAGGGTCCTTTATAGGGAAAGGGGTGAAGGGGTGCAGGCCAGCGTCGTCATTCAGCGCCTGTGGAGGTGGTCTATTCTGTTCTTCCTGGTTGTGCTGTGCTCAATTAAAAGCTTTGGTTCTTGCACCCGCTCAGTAGGTACAAGATGGTGGTGGTGTTCGTTATTGTCACCCCAGGAGGGTCACTGTAGCAGTCACTTTGAAACTTTCTGCACAAGCAGGAATTCCTAAAGGGGTTTTAAGGTTAATCTGTAACTTAATTTTTACAATTGCGGTAAACAAGCCTTGGGGAGGGGTTTTGCAACTCAGTGAATATNCTGTGCATGGCCACTGGCAGGCTGCAGAGCTCTATTCTGAACACCAATCATCACTTAGCTCCTCACACCAACCCTATGAGGCAGGTACCATGACTGTCCTCATTTTGCAGGTGAGAAAACTGAGCACAAAGAGGTCAAATAACTCTTGGGTCACACAACTCGTTAGTTTAGGATTAATCCCACTTGACTTCACATTCCCAATAGTGCTAGACTGAAGCCTTGTGCACCCCAGGCTTCAGTCCAGCACCCTGACATGGGGCGACCACTTCATTCTCTCCATAGGGGCCTTGAAGTTTTCTACCCAGAGTTGGGGAACGTTGGCTGCATGTTTATTCCTGACTGCAACAACTACAGAAAGAAGATCACCCGCTGGACAGAGCCGATAGTCAAGTTCCCCGGGGCCTCGAATGTGAGTGAGCAGGGCTGGCCTGAAGGTAGAGAGTTGTGGGGTCTTGATTTCCCTGTGAACTGGCTCGTCTGGGTGACTTGAAACCATGTGCAGAGCGCTCTGGATTGAGTCTGGTGGTACCAGATGGCTCTTGCCATAGGATGTGCCTCCTTAGAGTGGCCCCACCCTTGGGGGAGGAGTCTGGGGACAGGTGGGAGGGTTGCAGGCTGGGAACTTTGACGTCGGTCCAGGGCCATTCTGCCCAGGCTTTTCCCTGCTCCTCTGCTCTAGGAGCCCCTCGGTTGCCCCTGCAAACCCCAAGCCCCTGAGCCTGGCTCTGCAGAGTCAATAGAGTCCAGCTGGTATGTGCTGCAGAGTTTGCAGAAAAATGGAAGAAAGAGGGGGCAAGAGGGAGTCCTGTCTCAAGGTGCAGGGTGGCTGGGCTTTTAGAATGATCTTCTGAGCCAGAGAGAAGCAGTTTGTAACAGGACGGAGCTTGCCAAGCGACCCAGACAAGACCAGGTCAGTGGATCCTGACACTTGGTTGTTACAATATGAGACTCGTTCTTCTTTTGCCCAAAGTCGTCTAACACAGAAGATCAAAGCATGTTAGGAATTAGAAATAACCGTTTCTTTTACTGGGAAGTGTTCCAGAAGTTTCTCTTGGTTCGGTAGTCTGAAAAGCCTGGGGAAGGGCTGTGGAAGTGGAGGTGGGGCTACTGCTGCTCCTGGCAGCCAGACCACGTCCTTGGGGGAGCTGCCCCGGTCTTCTGGTCGCAGCTTCTTTCTTCCTGGACTCCTGGGCCAGAGAGACACCCCCAAGTGTTGGTGGTGGAGGCGTTGTCTTGCTTTCTACTGTGTTTCGGTAGGA